TGTTTTTATGATGTGAACATCCTATATGGAGAGAGAACTCTCTAATTATATATATAATTGTTAAAACATATCATGTGATTTTGATTAAATTTTGCTAATCATTTAATAAACAAATATTTTAATTTAATTTTGATTGGATCAAACCAAACGGAAACTGAGAACTTTGTAGGGAAGCTTTCATAACCAAATTTGAACTAAATCAGTTATTCCCTCCGTCCCAATTTATTTGATATTTTAAGAGTTTTGATTTGTTTCATTTTATTTGATTTTTTTTAAGTTTCTATACAAAACTTTTATTAATTATATAATTATTTATATTCTGTAGTATATTTTTATGTAAGTTAAAATATTTTTAGTTAAGTAATAATTGATATTTTTAATGGTTTCTCAATTTTCCAATTTCAACTGACTTTTTTTATAAAATAGGAGAGAGGGAGCAATTAAATCCGGTTTGGTTTAGTAGTATTACAGAGTCCAAACCCTCAGTTCACCCGGTAAACCCGGAACAACTTTCACTGGTTTTTTTTTGCTGACAGATGTCATTTAGCCATTGGAGATTGAGAAAAGAGGGAACACACGTGGACGACATTCAGAGAATCAGAATTAATCAAGATAATTTATTTAACCCACATTTCATTGCTTGCAGAGGCAGAGCAAAAGAATTTCGATCACTACTTTATGCATAAGATTTGTAACCTCAAAAGGTAAGTCGATCGTACTCTTCTATCTATAGATTTGCAATCTCAAAGATTTTCCGATTACTTTTTGCATGCATATTTGAGATTCGTTTCATCTCGTCTTGAAAAAAATACGATCAAAGTTTCAAAAAAGAAAATACGATCAGTAGATTTATTTGTTTGCTAAATTGATTAAGAAACAGGTATATATGATTGTAACGATTTTTTTTTTCCCCTGGGTCAATTAATGGTTAATTCGAAAGATGGATTGTTTAACCTTTAGGTGAAAAGGAACATGTGGAAGAAAGTAGATGCAGAACACAAGAGGTTTGTTCTTCTTTTAATCATAATTCAATGGAATCTAGGGTTTTGTAACTCGTGTTTTCCTTCAAACCAACATATATTAACAATAATGTTTATGATTATGTTCTTGGTTTTCAGATTGAGTGAAACCTCAGAGGAGAAGATCAACAATGCAAAGTTTTGTCTTCCCTCGGATCTTGTAGCTGTGATATTGTCCTGTCTTCCGTTGAAAGACAACATACGCTCTTCTCTTGTTTGCAAGACATGGTTTGAGATTGGGAAAACTGTCATTTAAATATCGAACTATCCGGTTTGAGCCAAAACAAATACCAACTTGTTAATGAGTCATAAAAATCACAAACTTATGGTGACTCGGCCAAATTAGGTATACAATTAGTCAACTTTAACAGTTTCTTAAAAAACGTTAACTCCGTTTATTGTAACCGTTAAGTCTCAAAACAACTTTTGAGATTATGAAAAATGGCCATTTAAATACCAAACTCTCCGTTTTGTGCCAAAACAAATACTAAATTTTTAATGAGTCATAAAATACACAAACTTATGTTGACTTGGCCAAATTAAGTATAATATTAGTCAACAGTAGATCAGAGCCCGGATCCGGAGACATGGAGAGACGAGACCCTCCAAGGTTTTAGCATGTGTCTAACAACTTGTTAGAGCACGAGATCCCTGAAGGCCGTAGCTTGAGTTTGGAAATTTAGGGGGGCACGAGATTGCGATAACCTAAGTCTGGAGACCTGACGAGTTAGTATGAGAACTGTCATGGAGACCTATGGTCTGAGTCAACTGACTTGTCCCCTCTGAGACGACTGAGAAGTTCTCATCATTTTGTGGGGTAGAGCTGAAGGCAAACCTGATCCTTAGGATATAGCTGCATTAGAGCAATACCCGAGCATGACCTTTCGGGAGACTAGACCATTAATCCTGACAACAGTGATTCTCCTTCTTTCTTATAAAAAATCTTGCTATCTCCTTCTTTTTTATTATAAAAATCACATAATAAATTATGCAATTGTTAGTCGCATCCGAGATTATGTCTAACATCCCGTGAGTACTTTGAGGTAAAGTGAAAGGAAACTCACGATCCCAAACAGAGTGATTATGTTACTCACGCTACAATCTTGGAGGGTCTCGTCTTTCTATGTCTCCGGATTTGGACTCCGATCTATAGTTGACTAATATTATACCTAATTTGGCAAAGTTAACATAAGTTTGTATATTTTATGACTCATTAAGAAGTTGGTATTTGTTTTGGCGCAAAGTGGAGAGTTTGGTATTTAAATGGCCATTTTTTATAATCTCAAAACGACGTTGTTTTTAGACTTAACGGTTACAATAAACGGAGTTAACATTTTTTTAAAAACTGTTAAAGTTGACTAATTGTATTCCTAATTTACCCGAGTCAACACAAGTTTGTGATTTTTATTACTCATTAGCAAGTTGGTATTTGTTTTGGCTCAAACCAGATAGTTCGGTATTTAAATGACAGTTTTCCCGTTTGAGATTGCTACTTCTGCTCGGGTTAGAGATCCGCGTTGCTGGGTTATGTATCTTGACCGATGCCTTATCAGGGGCGTCTCTTACGGGTTTTATGACCAGATATTGAAGAAGAAAACAAAAGCCATGAATCTACCTGAGTTATCGAAAAATTCACATATCGCTTGTTCCAATGATGGGTGGTTACGCATGAGTGACTTGGGTTCACATTTTAAAATTTTCTTCTTCAATCCTTTTACTCGAGAGTGCATAAACTTGCCTAGATTCGAAGGGTTACAATCGAAGTATGGTTTCTCTTGTGCTCCTACAAAGGAAGGTTGTTTGGTGTTTGGTATTAGTACATACTCGAATGAAGCTGTCACAGTAAGCACTTGACATTATGGTACAACTACATGGGTAGTGGAGGACTTCCCTAACCTGGTCCCTTCTTCCTTTAATCATACGAAAAACGTCTTATACTCGGATGGTCTCTTCTATATGTCGTCTGACATTGCGCTAGGGGTATTCAATCCATCTGCGCGTACTTGGACCGTTCTTCCTATGCAGCCGATCCCTAGCCCTGGCCCTCATGTTCGCACAGTCAGGTGGATGACTGGTTATAAAGGACATATCTTTCTTGTAGATGCATCGTCTCCGGACCCGATGGTGTTTAGGCTTAACCGGTCGGAGATGGTTTGGGAAAAGAAAAAAGTACTTGCTGGTTCATTAGTATTTG